TCTCTGTCTGCTTCCACATCCTTTCTGTCTGATGGGTCCAGCTGCTCAAAAAGCTGTTTTTAGAAATAGGAGAAAGACCTGCGGCGACAGAAGTTGCGTGGTCGTGTTGTGTAAACGCTGTGGGCAAAGTGGTGGCGTTCCCAGGGGGGTCCTGTCCAGCTCTCCAGCCTAGCAGCCTGCTGATGGTTATTTTGTCGAACTGATATGGGACTCTTCCTCTCCCCCCTGATATACATGAGTAAACAAGTACTCTAGATGTACAACTACTGATAATGTCTAAAATTAGGAGATATTTTTTCGTTGCTATTGGCTCTAAAGCAGGTATTGCAGAAGTGAAAAATACAGTTTCTGGCAGCTGTTCATCACACGCGCAGATGTTTTCATATTCCTTACAATATTCTTTGGGCCTCCTTCAGCATTATTTTGTGATCTCGACTACCTTTGCTAGGCAGTTTTCGTAAATCTAACTTCCAATGTACGTGTGTACTGGATATACTACAATAACCCAAATTATTGTGTAAATGACATCAATTAGGATAGCAGGAACTAGAAGCAACTCAGAAACAACTGAAACAATTTGCTTGTGCTTGCAAACTGAGTACTCTACTAGAGAGTAGTAGCTGTAACAGCCACTACTGGAGACTAATGAGACAGAACGGAGCGTGGATGTAGATAACTTTGAAGGTTGCAGTAAACGTGCACTCTGAGAATGCTTGTGTAAACGATACAGATCTTGAATTTTAGCAAGCCCTAGTTCTGATCTGAAAAATCCTCACAGATGTAAGAAGACAGTAAATGTGTTCCTCATCTGAAGGTGAATATCTTAATTTGAAGAGTCAGGAATATCTTAATGCATTGGTAAGGTGTGGTAGGTGCCTGTGGAATGAATGGTGATGTCAAATCGTTTTCTAGTCTAACGATGGGACTGTGGCACATGTTGATATCATCTTGGTATGATGCCATGCGTGCCTTCGATCTGAAAGAAAAACCTCGTAGTTCTGTTGTATGTGCAATAATCGCTGCATCTAAATAGATTTTTCTTGAGGCTATCAGTCTGATATGTCAGACGTGTTTAATACACTTAACTAGATGATAAAGCAGTGCAATGAATTTCGTTCATGGAGAGCAGCTTTTTATGGCAAATTGGACAACCATACAACTTCCCAGTTCCTTTTTTTTTCTTTTTTTCTATTTCCAGATGAAGGAGATGTCTGTATAACTCTTCACTAGGCTTTTGTTTTCTTTGTCTTGTGAAGCTGTCTACTTTAGTCTTTTACTAGTTTTTATAAGTACCCTCAAATTTAATGCAGTTTGACCTAATTTAGGTGTGCTCTGGCTGTAACTGAAATGCGTGTGTACAGATTGTATATTATCTTGTGAACCAACAAAACAATCTGAAGGAAACTTTTAAGTATTACACGGCTAGCAAAGCTGATGGCTACATTTTTTGTCTCTCCTTCCCCCCCCTTTTCAGATTAGGGAGCAGGGCAGTGTCTTTGAAGAAACTTCCTGTTGGAATGCCTCACATCAATGCAGCTGCAGCTCTGCAGATCTGCGTGCTGCTGTCTGCGCTTCCTGCACAATATTTCATATCCCAGTGGTATGGAACGGACTCTGCTCAGCGCATCCAAATAACAGAAAGGTTGTAAGTCTCTCCTTCCCTGCTGTATTTATTTATAAGAGAGTTCTCTTTCGCATCCCTAATGACACTTTGTCCTGGAAAGTTGGAGTGTGGGTGGAGCACACTGGCCATTCCTACACGAAAACAACATTCAAATCATACCTCAGACATTTTTGTGGCTTAATGTGACTGTATTTAGCTATTTAAAGATGTCCTTCAAAATTTGAATAACAACCACTGTTTTCTTCACATGAAAATCTGTGTATAAACTGCGTGAGTGCATGACTGTGCCTTAATCTCATTCTGCTTTTGGACATTCCAATATATGTTACTATGGGTTATGTCCCTTTAAAAAAGGGGAAATGAAGTGTTTGATTAGTAAGACTATTTCTAACTTTCCATTACCTTTTAACGCTTACTGTTACAATAGATTTTCTTGCATATGATTTACGCAAAAACTTTTAGGCTCTTTTTTAATAGTCTTTTGATTACGTGCACCATTTTCTTGCATATGACTCAGTACAGAGTCTTAACCAACAAAAATACATTCATAGTAAATTACTTATGGCAGTCATAATGATAGAGTTAAGTAAGTAGTGCCATTTTGTATATGAATTAAGAAGTTATGTATTGACAGGGTCGCACGCATCTATCTCCAAATGTAAAGTAGAGGATACTACATCAGGTCCAAATATTAGATAGTAGTAACCATTGGCAAATGTTGGTATCCTGAAGATGAACCACATGAAGAGAGACTTCTATGACTTAGTTTTAACAGTGCAGCCTGTGTGGTGCATTGGTTGTGTGGTTCATCTGTAGAACTCAAATACATAAAGTAATGAGAGCAAATGATCGGCCTGATGAAAAAAGAACTAAGTCTGGCTTTGTGCGTAAAGACCCAGATTTAAACAATTTTCAGGTTTCATGGCATGAGTCAACTACCGACCATTTAGATTTATGCAAAAACTTTTAGGTTCTTTTTTAACAGTCTTTTGATTATGTGCACCATTTTTGAAATGTCTTATGCTCACTATTCTCAAGTAACAGTTGAAACTGCAGAATCTGGTGCAATTTAGCAATTCCTATGGTCTGAGTACAGAAAGCAGGCGACCTTGTAATGAAAAATGGCATCTTCCAAAATTTACATATGGTTTACTGGTACAAGTGATGCTTGAAAGAATATTGATTTGCAGTCTAGATATTAATCTTGAGGAGAACTTGTTCCTGGTCACTGACATTTTTTCCCTGTTTGCTACAGAAGCAAAGCCTTAAAGTTTAAGTATTAAAAATATATATATATATACACAAATACTATAGAAGGTTCTTAAAACAAAGTGATGATCATTTTTACTACTAAAGGATAATTGCCTCTTGGAGCAGCTTTACAAAATCTTGCTTGAGTCGGGATGCATGGGCTGATCGTTTAAAGCTGTGGCTATCAAAGACAAGGTAGGATGCTACATACTGTCTACGCTTAAGAATAAATTTCAAACAGTCTCTTCTTAACAGGAAGGTATGCTGTAGGGGTGAAATAAGTAACAAAGGGGAAATATCTCTTATTTTCTTGTTGAGACTGATTTGGGACTTTTCACCAGTTCTAAGAAAACCTTTTGCGTATATTCTACACAAACATGCAATTTGAACTCCATGCGAAACTAAATATAAATCATGGCAGTAATTCCATACATGTTATCCTCCACTTCAAATTTATCTGATTGTGAAGTCAGGAGGATTAACCGTATTAATGATTGTAAGCAGCTACATGTTTGTAGGATCAGATCCTACAATGTGGGATGGACATCTTACACTGCATATGGTAGTTCAGGAAAACTTGAAATTAAATCAGAAAATGCAGATGGGAAATCTGTGGGTTTAGGAAGAAGGGGAAATTCATTATTGGACACGTGACAATGAGTTGGTCTAGAAAAAGTAAGATTATGTCAGTTTATATATACACCAGTTTAATTAAAGAAGACTGTTGCTTGGACATGTTTGGGGAGGTTAAAAGGCTTGTTTGTGAGATTTAATTCTTGTATAGTAGAAATACTCCAAAGGTTTTACCTTGTCTGGACCTTCAAAGATCCTTTATTATTGATCCGTGTATGATAATCAAGGATGTCAAGTCCTCTGAACTGTGGAAGATTTAGACTTAGTTTTGCTCCCAGGAAAGCCTAGGGGAACGGTATATGGATGGAAACAGAAACTCTGCTTTTCTTAGGTTCACCATAAATTGCTTTGCAACTTTGTGGAAAGCTCCAGGCATATCTACAGATAAAGCCTTCAAAGACCAAATGATCCTTTGGAGCTGCTTGCATTTTCCGAATATCTTATATTATAAAGAACTGGTTATCCTAAAAATATGTTGACATTTGAGACCTTCCAAACCTACTATATTAGCTGCTGTTTTCAACAATGCAGTCTAACAAGTCAGGATATTTGCCCATTCCCGTTCCTGTTAAAAGGTATTTGTCAACCTTAAGTCTTCCTACCGATTTGAGCTAAACAAAGACTTTTTTTAAAAAGTATTGTTTGTACAGTTGTGGAACCTGCTCTTACTTTCTTCCAGGCAGGGTGAAAGGAGTAAGACTGAAAGAGGGAAGGTGGTGAACACCATAAAAGAGGAAGGAGACTAGGACAACCTATAGTTCTCTGGCACCAACAGGTTGCTGACTGGTATGGATGGGGAATGTTGACCCAAATACACTTGTTTATAGACTGCTCCTGTTACATTGCCAGCAGAAGGAATATTTGAAAGCTCCCCCCACTAAATGTTGAGTTTGCTCATTGTTTCTTTACACTGTTTTTCACAATGGCAATGAAAACCATAAGCCATTTCCCCTCTTTAAAGACGTCCCTCCCCTAGCCCCCACCCTTTAAATTCACATGAAATTCAGCCTAGTGCAGAAGGAGAAGTTGTGCTTATTGTAGCCTTAAGCTGGGACTCATTGCCAGACACCTTGTCCATACCAATGTTAACCGATCTTTAAAGATTTCACAATAGAATTTACAAAAGATACTGAAGAATCACTCTGTTACAGTTCAGAATAATATTTGCTCACCTATAGAAAATAAATGGGTTTCCTCTCATATAAAAATTATAATGCAACTGTAGAGTTACATATCCAAAGAAATTAGATTCATACTCTTTTCTCCTGTTGGAACAAATTCCTTTGGCTCGTGTATTCCTTAAAAGCAGTTTTAATGTAAAACTCTCATTCTGTTTGGGCTTCAGATCGTGAAGAATTTTGTATCAAAGGCTTTGCAGTATCCCTTGATTCAGACAAATGCTTAAGATAGGATAATCGGCCTTCTGCTTATTACTAAAACTCAGTTTCTAAAGAACTTGTTTGAATGTTGGGTTATTAATTTTACATTTTAGGAATTGGTACTATGGAGAAAAGAAAACTAAAATTGGCGACAGTGAAGCAGAAACCCACTCTTATTTCGCAGGTATTGGAGTCTTTGCAATCCTTTTGGATTTTGCTTCTGGATGTTTTGCTTTTTGGATATTGTCTTCTGTAAGGTCTTTTATAGGGGACATCTATACTTGCTTTGTAAATGGTAGTCTTTTTTTCTTCTCTCTAAACATTATTGATAATGTTCAGTAAGCAAAACAGAAAATGTAAAATCCAAGGCCTTTTCACCCTATGTTGTGTAACAGTATCAATATGATACCATATGTATGCATCTATTTTATTGAATAGATCTGAGTGTGCCTGTTTTGTATTGATGTATGAAACAGTGGTATAGCTTTCACTTGATTCAAATGAACCGATTTAGATCAACTTCATAAAAGGAAAAAGAAACAGTTGATCAGTCTGCTCCCGGAAAGAAATTCCCCACAGTCAGACTGAATGGAAGAATTCTGTGACCTAAAGTGGAAAAAACTAATGGCAAAATCAGTTAGCATGTGTAAGCACTGTAAAATATTGTATGTCAGGCTTAAGGAATTGTCAGTACATACATGTGTTCATGCTTTCCAAAACTCTGTTAAGACCCCTATGTAATATCAAAGGCATACAAATAGAAAAATGCGTTCCTTGGTGGATGCTGCTTTGTCAAATATCATAGTAAAATTCTGTGGGGGAAAAACCCAAAGTACCTGTTCCCTTGTTTACTTTGCCTATTAATCTATCACTTCTCTTCTGGTAGAAGTCAGGAGAATGTCTGTTTAAATGTTTAATATACTTGATCAAACACTTATCCTTGCTAAGTCTCTTTCTTTGTTAAATTAGAATCAACTCATGTTCGCAGTCCGAAGCCTGAATATGTTCAGTTCAGTGTGGGACAGGTAATAGGTCACAAAAGATTTGGCTATTCAGGAGTCATTGTTGGATGGGATGTAAAAGCTAAAGCTCCAGAAGAATGGCTACAACACAAATATCCTCCAGCGAAACAGGTTTGAATGTATTAAACTCTTCCTTTATTAATACATACACAGAATAACTCAGGTTAAAAAACCCAACAACTCAGAACCACTGTTACAGACAGACTTGCCTGCTAACGTAATGGAAAATACTTGAGTCCCATATCTCCTGTGCAGCTGAGCGATACCTCCGCTGCTTCTGCACTGTTCTCTGAGTAGAGCTGTGCTTTTGCACCACTGATGGGTTAAGCTTCGCCGGTCAGGGTTGTACTGGACATGTCTCAAATTAAAATTACTCACTTTTAATACACAGTGTTGTTTTTAAAGTAGCAGCGTCAACCTGTAATGTTTGAACAGATTTCTCGTGGTGTATTACTAAAGTTGAGAGGCAGTTAAATCTTTTATCTGATCTTCCAGCGTAGGTATAATAATTGGTAACATCTTCACTGCACCTACAAAAAGCAAGTAATCCTTTGCATTTCATCCATTTCAGTTAGAAAGCAATGTTTTTGGGGATCTGGATGTTTGGAATCTAAATCTATTTAACGACGTATTTTTGTTAGAATTGTTGAAGCTTTTTAAATTCTCTAGCCTAAGTCCTTGTTGTATTTTAAAATCAGATGCTACATCTTTGTTGACAGTGCTGCTCTGATAATACAGTGCTGCATACTCTGTGGGTTGGCTGCCGACATGCTGCTTAAGTGGCAGGAAGGCACTAATCATTAAGTCAGGGGACTGAAAACGAGAAAAAATGAGAAACTGCCCATAGCAGAGAATTCATGTTCAGCTGGGAGCAGAGATTCAGTCCTGTTTTGTGCCTTTTGTTCCTTCCCCGCTGTAGTTTTATCCACCTGCCACTCATTTTTGGCTTCTAAAACACCTGCATCCTTGCTTTCTTTTCTCCCCTCCTTCTCCTCTCAGTATTATTGTCAACAACTGAATGCCCGTGAATTTCCCATCAGGCGTTCTGATTCTTTTTATGTACCTTACATTGTTCTGTTCTCCCAGTGACCTTGTGTTCATCTTTCATTGTTTTAATTTCAGTAGTGATGACATGTGGTTTAAGTGCGTGTCTTTTGGGGTTTTTTTAACTTGCCTTTGCCTTTTCACGTTGCATGCATGAGCTATGCAGAATGCCTTCTGACCTTTGTAAGGCAACTACTAAGCTTGCTCCTTGCAAATCCCCTCTAAACATTAGCCAGGCTTTCAGCCCAACTTTCCCTTGCCTTTCTCTGACTTTCAGTTCTTTACTACATTGTTGAGCAGAGGCCGCTGCCTGTCACATTGATCGATAGTAACTGCTTCATAAACTCCAGTTATCTGTCTGTATTCATCCATCACTTTTTTGTGTTTAGATTGTGGGTTACTTTGGGCAGGAATGATTATGGATAGTAGTGAGCATGGTGGGACCCTGGCCCATGATTTGGGTTCAGAGGCACTGTAAAAATAATAGTAAGCCACGCTTCTTTCTTGGCTGGAAGATTTTTACATATGCATGGAAGTTGCCTTAGCTCTGTCCAGGACTGGGGCCAAGATTGTCAGAGGTGGTATTATGCTCTGAATCTGCCTCTTTCTGGTGTTCTCTGTTGCCACTTGTGAAGGAAGAAGGGAGACTAACAAATTGTTATGGGACCTATATACAAAAAGCAGGGATATTCCAAGTCATGTTTCTGGCAGGATCTATGGGAGAAAAGGTTAACTAAAATCTTGACTCTTAAAGAATGTTTCAGATATGCCAAGAACTTAATGTATTACAGTTTTGATTGCTTTATATTTAATTTTCCAAACTGACGTTGGTAAGATCATAAAAATGAACTTGCTGTATGTATTTATCAAGTGGTTTTAGGTTCTGTAAGCATAGTGAGAGTTAACTGAATACATAATGTAATCTTTAGTCATCATCTCCCCTTGAGGCTATTTATTTTCCTTCTATTTTTACAGGGTCTAAAAGATACTCCTCACTATCGAATTCTAATTAACAAAGCAAATGGGTATGGCAAATCTACAGCTTACGTTCCTGAGGAAGAGATAACAATTATTATGGGAGTAGAGGTAGTATTTATTTTCTATTCAGTTGCAACTTGTTTGTTAGCCTGTACATTTAAAAGTTGGCTGACCTTTGGCTTAGTAGATACTATCTATCTATTTTGCAAAGTTAGTGAAAACTAATAGAGAAAGCAGATAAACAAATTACTGCTGTACTTTCAAGTATGTGTTTTTGGAAGGTGATACATGACCAAACCCAGGTACTGCCCACTTCAGAGTATCCAACTGCCTAGTTTTGTAAGTGTTTTAGCAGCTTGACTTCTGTTATGTACAGGCTGTTGCAGACATGGACTTTTGTTTTGGGATTTCACTGACCTATCAACGTTGGATGAGTCATTTAATCTCTTTCTACTGGATCTAGCAAAGTATATTGGTTTCTCAATTCCACTCTGAAAAAACCTGCATTTCAAACAGCTTCTGCTCAGCTGCTGCCCAGACTGAATAATGTCTGCCTTCTTAACTGCAAAACTCTCCGGGAACCATAAATTCTGTTTTGTGTATCACGGTCTTGGTAGCTTTTGATTTCTGGCTTATGCAATGTGCACCTGATTCTTAAACTAGTCAGAGACTCTGATCCAGAAAACGGCCTTCAGGCATGCGTGCCACATACAAACGGCTTCTTGCAAGGGATCCAGTGCTATTGTGGATGCCTTCTTTTAAATTGTGGATAGCGGCAGTATCTGTATTTAAAATAACAGCAAGCAGCTGAACCATTCATCTAACAGGAGATGCTTGGTCTAGTCAAACAGAGGAGATTCAAATGGGCATCTTTTGCCTTTCAGGGGAACCCCCCAAAGGAATTGTGTAAACTGTGTTGGCCTGAAGACTCCCCATGCTCTCTTGAAACTGTGCCACTGCACGTAAAGGACCCCACTCAATCAATGGGGCCGAACAGTGCGACACCATTACCGCTTTTATTTGGGAGAAGCCCTAGTTCCTTATTTCTGTTTTAGCCACTGATTGTAACATAAAATGTGCTAACGTGCCTGAACTTAGGAGCAGGAACTATGCTATCCCAGATAAGTGTCATAAGTATTTAAAACTGGGTTCTGACCACTCTAACTTTAATGTGTCTAAAAAATGCACCTTTCATTATGTCAGTCAGCTGGCTACCTCCGGTTACCTTTATAGTCCACGGGGAGAAACAGATACCTCACTTCTAACATTTACCTTGCGTAAACTAGCCTTTAAGATATCAGATTGCTTTATTCACCTGCATGACAGGCTAATTCTCCCCACAGATTATTAGGGGAACTGATGGTAACAAGCTCACAAAATCAGATATTTGAAAGCTGTCTAGCTGAGATTAATTACAAATGGTGAGTCACGCCTATACCTCAAGTTCAAAAGAATGTCTGTGGATTGCCCTCGCTCTGCCTAGTAGGCTGTAGGAACAGCTGAGTAATTTCCTGAAGAGTTGAGACTGATGAGAAAATGCTTAGACTTGTCCTAACCCTTTCCCAGTTGACAGTTCTAACCTGCTCTCTGTAGGCTTTCTGCATCATGACAAGGCATGTCACTTGGATTGCCCTTTGTGGATTTGCATCTTCCAAGTTGGGACATTGTGGCACATCAACTTGGTGTGTCGTCACCATTTCCCCGACTGCTTCTTTACTGTGTCTGCTGCCTAATAGGATTAGATAACTGATCCAGCTGGAAAAAATAACAAATAGCTCTACCAGCAACAAATGAGTGGCAACTACTTCAATACGAAACAGTGCTGATTTTAAAACATCCATGCTGGTGTAGATCTAGCACGTAGTATCTCATGAGATATGTTCAACACTTGTAGAGTACTTTGCCAGTTTGAGAAAGCCACTGTTCTGATGACGTAACTTAGGTTAAGGTACATGGAAAATCCCACTGAAAGTATCTCTACGTACATTATGTATTTAAAAACTAACCAGGAGTTTTCAAAAAGTTAACTGTAGTAACTTCAATGATTCTTTTAAGTATCAGTTTGTATTTATTGCTAATTCTGGTGCTTATTCAACTTGAAATATTATTTTCTCAGGTACATCACCCTGATATGAAAGCCTATTTCAGTGGATATGATGGATCAAAATACATTATGCAGCCATGGTTGAAAAAAATCTATCCTCATGACTGAAGTACTTAAGTGTTTGTACATGCAACGTACATCCAGACAACATCTTTCCTTTTTAAACTTGAGCAAATAGACACCGGAATAAAACTCATGTATATTTTTTCCTATGATGAAATAAACCATTCCTAAGCATGTTACATTGAACAATCCATTTCATTAGAAGCAAACACCCTGCATGTTCAGTTTACCATGACTTGAGACAGGGATTAATCTTCTTCCAATTTTGGGAGGAAAGGTTTACATAGAGCCAAGTTTCAGCTAGGAGTACCAAAGGTTTTGCACATCAACTATCTTGCCCTTTTAGAGGGGGCAGCGGAAGAAACTGAACCGTTAAGAACTCTACTTTCAGAATTAATCGTAACCTTAATTTTAGGGGATAGAGCTAAATAAAGGCCAACAGGAACTGAACTATTTCTGGGGGGAGCTGTAGTAAGTAAATCCTGCGATACTTTGACTGCTCTCTTTACAAAAGCACGCATGGTGCTGCTTGCAAATGATACATGCAAAAGAAGGGTTAATCTACTTTTTTGCACCTGGACAGATGTTAAGAAAGCTCCTGTGCTGGCTCGCTACACAACCTGCATTCTTAATTTCCTCTCTTAACGCTACTTGCTACCATAAGAATAAAGTAAAAAACAACAAAACTCAAGAAAGCATAAAAATTTTAATAAGAAAATGTGTAGGATTTGAAAGTTTCTAGAGCAACTTGTTTCTTCTGTTTTCTTTTCCCTTTATCTCAAACACAGCAAACACTCTACAAGAAGCATAAGCGGTAGCATTCTGGATTCTTTCCTGCAGAGTCAGTGAATCCGGGGAGTTCGGTAGATGACTGTCTATGTGGCCTCCCCATTCTTTTGTTTCTTCTTCTCTTATTAATAAAGGTTTTCCCAATGCCTGGCCAAACAGTCGACAGACTTCCTGAGCTTTCCGCCGTGTGTTTCCAACAGCAGCAACGCATACTTGACGGCTGAGAGGCAGAAAAAGCAGCACAATAACAAGCAGGGCCAACTGATGTACAAGTATTCCTGCCAAGCATTTTTTTTTTTAATGCCTCAGCTTTTGTAACTGCATAGATGCAAGGCACATCACCTTCCCCCGGGTTCTGGGTGATAGTTTAGAAGTTTGAGGGGGGAGTGTGCGGAGAAAACGTCAGCATCCTCATCAGCTATGATCAAGCCTTTCTGACACCTATACGCTGCAGGCATCCGTGGTGTGTGGTGCAGAGCAAGAGTTCAACCCTTGCTCCAGGCATTTGGGTAGTCCAGCTGTAAAGCATACTAGCACCGCATACTAGCGCCTATTTAACCCCACTGGCCTGATTTCCAGACTCCTGCATAGATACCTTCAAGGTACACTTCTGACATCTCCAGAACCGTTAGCAGCAGCTAGTTGAGCTTGCTTCTTGGACCAGGCATAATTCTTTTCTTTGAAGAGGCAAAACCCAAACCAAGATTAAACTTCCCCCTGCCCCCCCCAACGTCAATGGGAGAAGCAGGACTTTGAATAGTTAACGCCTAAAATATCAAGAGCGTGAGCTTCAAAGTCGCATGTTTTGATGCTGAGCAAGCACCGTACGTGGTTCTTTTCAGATCACGTCAGCAGCTAAGAGTAATGGGAATTGGCAGGGGTACTTGGAATTACCAACATCCGGTAACACATTTGTACCTTCGTGAATAAATACAAATTAAATCTACACGTGCTGATGTAACCAAAGTCAAACTCTGTTGACCTAATATTCACAGTAGATCATACTTCCAATGGAAATCAGTGGGAAAATATTTTTTATTACATTCAGCTTTTGCACAGGGACACTGTAGAAAGAACAAGCTGTATCTTCTAGGCTGAACGGCATTAATTGATAAGTTATATTTAAAACAAATACTGAAATTTTTGAACATAATTTTTAACAGGTATGAAGGAAACTATTTGCTCCCATTACAAACAGTATGAATTATGTGTTCATATTAACTGTTATCTGAGGCTGTAAAATTTGTGGCGTGAGAGAGAACTTACCGAAGGGTGTCTACGGCTTCTGGTGTATGGTAGAAATGAGGTGGACTGATGGTAACAGAGGTTCCTAACTTTTCAGTGAGTAGATTGCAAACATTCTGCATTTTTCCAAAATCGCTGAATATAATACAGACCTGGGAGTGAACACAGTCATCACACAAATAATTTTTTTTCATTTTTCCCCTACGATTCAACACTTGTATTTAAATCAGTATAAAGCCAGATATGTTCAAATTAACTAAACATACTAGTCCTGTATAAAACTCCAATATGTATTTACTTAGAACACTTTTATATAGCCCTAGAGACTATCATTAGATTTGCAACAGAAAGAAGCCCATTAAATGGTTTAAAATTGGGGATTAAGAAATGCTCTTTTGTGAGGAAGTACGGCATTCTTGGTACGGAGACAATTTGAAGAATGAACGTGCTCTTTGGGACACATGACTAGATGCACCCTGGTTCTTCCCTTTTTAGATTACTAGATGTTAATTATGCAGAAGCCCAAGCAAAACGATGTGGAAAACATTGTGCAGGAAGGAAAAATTACATTTTAATTCCAAGCATTAGGTTCAAGAAACCTAAACTATGAGATTAAACTAAGCCTAGCCCAGCCCAGCTTGCAGTGGGCTCAAAACCCCGTGTTGGCTGAACAGACTCACTCCAGTGCCTACAGAGAACTGGGCACTTCAGACTTGGATTAAAAACAATTTAAACATCTAGCTGCCTGTGGCTTTGACAATAAGAAGCATTAAATACAGATGCATCAGGAATTCAGGTGTTTTTCCCAAGTGCTGCGAAGCAGGCATCGCTATCAGCCCTGGATCCAGAGCCCTACAGCCTTCCTTGCCGGGAAGTGCCAGCCAGGCGGCGACTTTCCAGGCAGGAGCCAGCCTTTTTCTGTGGCAGAGCACAGTCGCCAGGAGTGAAGCAATGATGCCGAGCTGCTACAGCATTCAGGAATCAGAAATCCTGGGTCCAAAACTCTTTTTTAGAAGACCTAAACCCTCATCTTCACTTCCCAGTACAGTGCTCTCACCACCAAGTCAGGCTCACCTTCTCTCTTATCCCTGACTCCTTCCTTTCTTTTTGCACAGTAATACAGCTTCAACAGGAGGGGAAGAAAAAAAGCTGTGGTAAAGAAGAGTCCACTGCCAACCCCTGTGACGTACAGTCACCCCCGTGATTGCTGCAGTCCATGCAGCAGTCTATCCCAGTGAAGGCGTACGGTACAGAAATCTAAGTTATAGCATGTCAGCTGCACTTCAGTAGCTTCCTGTGTGCATACCATAGATTTACCTTGTGGTAAATGAGATAATTCAAGGAAGTTGAATATCTCAGTGAGAGAGGAGGGGGCTACTTCATGTACAGGGTAAGGTAAAAAATTGATACTGACAAATATCACAGAGTAATTAATGCACATGTCTTGTTACCCTTGGTAGCCTCTCAGTGCAGTACATGTACCTCATCCTGGCTTGCATCCTTGGCACTGGCTCAGTAGCTCTTCACACAACTGAGCCAAAGCTGGGCTCAGGGCCTTAAAAACTAACCAAGATGGACTGGCAGGGCAATTCCGTTTGTCCCTACAAGGACAAAGGGTCACACCTGTTGTGCAAAACTGCACCAAGTCTGCATCTTAATCTCAGCTGTGCACCCTTTATCTGCCACTTGGGGGTTGGATCACTTTCTGGAAGGTGCAGTACCGATTTGAACAAAGACTGAAGATGAGACGAAACCTGGATTTCTTTCTTCAGTGAGAGTTCGTCTTGCCATATATAAAAAGCATACATCCTCTTGTGCTGTTTTGCCAAAAAACTGTCATAGTCGTATTTTGTGGAAAGTTGAAAGTCTCACTATGAGGACTGTCATAGTGTTTTCCAGATTGCTATCAGTGCTTAAAAGATTAGTTCCCTCAAGGGGATGAAACAAAAGAATGATCAAACAAAAGAACCGTGGGTCTTAAGCAAGAGATAAGCTGCTCAGACTGGCGCAGTTCTGGGCACTCAGGAACTTCGTTGTTAAAAGAGAAGCATGTAATCAGGTACCCTCAGGGGCAGAAAACAACTGAGCAATAGCTGTGAAAGTTGTTTTTTCCCCCTAAAAGTCACAGTTTTCATTTAGAGCTAGATGCAATAAATTCCACTTACATTTACAGAGGATACCTGAGCATTGAAATGCAAAGCAGTGTTTCAACTTCTTCAATAAAATTATGATTAAGGTTAAAAAGTGTGGAAAAAGTAATATGAGGGTATGCAAAACCATTATGGACATTATATGGTTTGCGTAAGGCTGTAAAGGACAAGAAGTTATGGTTTATAAGGAGGCAAGTATATTAAGAAATGCACAAACCCAACATAATCTTCATCCCATGAGATCATCATGCAATAAATGAACTGTTATGATTAAGATATTATAGAGCTTTGTGATCTCATACACAACTTCATTCTTCTGCATATTTTCCTTTGTTGTAGCATGAATTAAAATTTATCTCCTTTCAGTTGAAAGCGTATCCTGAATTCTTAATTGTACCTTAAAATAGCTATTTGTCTGGGAGTTTCTTCAGTCCTCTAAAAACTGTTACAGTAGACAAATGGTAGAAAGAGTTTATAGAATGAAATAATGCGTATCTTCCATGATTTTATGTGTAACACAAATATAATGGCAAACTCTAAGAAGCGAGTGTAAGTTAATTTTAAATTAATTTATATTGCTAAAGCATGCAAACACGCTGATCAATGGAACTTCATTGGTTTATGAAGCTGCACTAATGAAACAAGTACATACATAAAGGGGGAAGCAAGGAGAAACTAATCTCTGCATAAAGAGCGACCATACTGCTACCTAAGCGTACAGGGCAGCCAAAACAGCGGTATTATGGCTAGATTTTTCAAGTTCTGACACCCAGGTCCTAGGCAACCATACAACTTTTGAACAGCAATTATAGCTGGCCCAAGCGGCCTACAAATGAACACCAAATCCTTTAATTCGCTTTCCACGTACAATCTTTGTTGTATAAAAATGAATAGCAGAAGGGAGATGATTGGTTAAGTTACTTAAGACTGAAGTTGTAAGCCTAAGCTTGTCTGTAGCCTAAATAATAATTCAGTATCGTTTTATTTAAGTATAGCTTATCTAAAAAACATGGTGATGTAAGCTCTCGTGATAGTAGGTGTCTACTTTATGAAGTTAAAGTCATTCAGAACATGACACTGATGCATACCATTTAAGTATCTAAAGACTCATTTTAAAATCCAAATTTTCTTCTCTAAATTCTCCATTATTTCCATATTTGTTATTTCTGTTATTTCTATGAGAATATGCCTTAAAGCAAGCAAGCAAACTGAAGAGGCTGAACCCTGTTTTAGGGGACTGTAAACAACAGCTCTATAAAGCAGCTATCATTTTACTGCAGGCTTCCAGGTTTACTTCATAAGAATCTGTAAATTTGCTGGATAGTGATTAAAGTTTGATGCTCTAAAAAGATCCATTGACTGAAAACACATCATTTCCCTCAGTGAAAGCTTCCAGCACAGCATTTATGTCTTACTATAGCATGAACGTGCAAAAGTATACTCCCCTGAGCTGCTTCTGAAGTAAATGGGATTATTCCCATAATACTTAGCTTTCACGCAGCACTTTTTACCTACAGAATTCCAAGTCAATTACCTAGGAAACAACTAGCTTTGCTTTACTTGCAGCAAGCTGATGGCAGAGTCGTGTAGAATAGACCAAAGTCCAGGTGCTGTTCAACTGTGGCTTAAACAGATCTAGATTAGGGCTGCCACGCCACTTGTTGTCCCCCATCCACTCTTGTCCTCTGCCTTGCACTGCCTCCAGTTCAGGGAGCTAAAATAATGGAAAAAAATAAAAGCTAATCTGGAAAAAAAAACAGTCATGAACTGGAGTAGCTTTCCGAACTGACCTATCACCTGATCACCTAAGTACAACTCCTTGCGAGAAGTAGAGGGCAGGAAGGGCTATGGGTGAAGGAGAGTGCAGAATCGTGGGTTTGCTTACACTGCCACAGAACGACAACCTTGGAGCCCCAGAACCAAATATTCCCTTCTGTAGCATCGTGTAACATTTAAAAAGCACACATTCTTCTCAGAAGAAGATAATTCTTTCTACATTACAGTAGCAGAAAACAAGTTCTGCACACAACAAAAGACTGCAGCTGAACCCCGCTTGAAACTGTAGTCCTTCAGTAGTTTCTTTGAACTATGCTGCCTTTAGTGGAGAACATCTACTTCTCGGTATAAGGAAAGGCAGTCTGCAAATTTTCACTGGTCCTTGCTACATTTCTTATTCCTTTTTATTATTATTTTTGGTTAAGTTGAATACGTACCTCTGCTTCCATTTGGTAAGTATTTTCTAGTCTACTAAAATCCTCTGTTACAGTCATATTTTCTTCCTAAAACAAAGTACAAGAATATAATCTTAAAAGACATAAAATTAAGCATCTGTTGGAAATGTGTGTACATTGTGTCCTGTAAAAGTCGAACTGTTTTGGCTTATTACTTACGACTTAGCAACAGAAATTTGGAATTTTTCATGCAAATCTCTTCCGTTAAAAACTAGCTGGATGTTAAAGACTTCTTGACATTATTTAAAGTAAATTGTACACTAGCTGTATAATGTAATTTTGCTGCTATTCACTTGAAGAGCAATTAGATCTTAAAAGCGACTGCTAGCTAGAAGCTGTGTGTATCAGCGTGTAACTGTAAATTCACCTGGTTCAAAAAACTAGAAGCTTCAATTGTTTTCAGAAAGTGAGTATGTGAAAAGTGCTTTTCAGGCCCCTACCTTAAAATCTTTTAACAGTAGCAGCTTGTAGCAAGGTGATGTGAACAACGACCGAGCACTGGTTATTCTGGTAGAATGGTAACCCTTAAAAGAGGCGATTCCACCAGTGACACTTTTGCATTAACAGCAGCTACTTTATTCAACATAACAGCTGCACAGAGCACCAGCAAATCCTGTAAGACTTACAAATAAGATACTAAACTAAGACACAGAATAACTCCAGTTACATCTGAATATTTGACCAGCTTGCTAGCGGTCTAACAATCACATTTCTTTCACCCACTTCCCTCTTCGGTAAACAGTTTGGACGAACAATTTATTGTAAAATTACTATAACACAAGAAAAAAAGCACAGTTTTTACAATTAAATTGTAAATATAACTTCGCATTTAATACCCAGGAACTGTAGGGAAGTGGGTGATGTATGTACTAAATTTATTTGCATAGGAAAACAATATTTGCTTTCAGTGTTGACACATTTCAAAAGATGCTTTATGTCAGAATATCTCCTACAGAGGCTCAAATTTTCAAGTTTATCATGTTGCATGCATGCATAAGTTCATATAAATGACATTAATCATGAGAAGCGTTTTCCTTTTAAAATATATGGAAATTAAATCCATAATTACCATTACACAGCAGCCTACAAGAAACAAATTTTGACATTTCAATTTTATGATTGATTGGCAGTGCTCAAATTCAAGCACAACAGTCCTATTTTTGGATAATCTCTTCTAGTAAGGGCAAGAACCAGAGCCAGTTAGTCCCTAAAAAAATGTATTTCCCCTTTTGGAATCATGGGTTTGAGGTACTTTGGCAGCGTGGCTGGCTGTAGTTTGCTAAAGAGTGCTCAAATCAGTCCAGCACCAACAGCTCATTTAATTTACAAAATGGAGCAAATCTTACTATTTATGATAGAATTCAATTACAATTGACAAGAAAGCTTTTCTGTGTGGTTATTTCTATAAGATATGCAAGAGCTCTAGAGAAAACCTTTCTTCTACAACTCATATTTTACAGAAATAACTATACTGTAATAAAACTTTAGAGTAAGCATGTTTTTCCTTGTCCCCGCTTCTTAATCCT